GGCGAGTATGTTTGGTGGGACGGGGATTCGAACCAGCGACCTTCAGATTACGAGTCGAGCGCCCTAACCACCTGGCCCACGATAAGTGAATTAACTGATCACAACTCATATTAAAAGTGAATGTATACGTTGATAAACCTGAGAGGGGTTGGGCATACAAAAACATTTTAATTCGTTTATGTACTTTTGAAATCATAAGAAAACTTAGAGATAAAATGTATTTGCATTACCAGAAGGTATACACAAGAGAGAGAGAGAAACTTAAAACAAATTCCAACTTACTAAGCTTTCTAGTCGGCAGTAATTTACAGTAACAAATTTTTATGTTTAATATGCAATTACATTACATTGTTGACAAAACGTGGATAGTTTTAACACGTTTAAATTAAAGAGGCCAACATTCGTGGGCGAATGCACCATGTCTCCGTCACGCAATCCCAATATAACCAATTTTGACACCAGAAAAATCGAAAACTGTCAATATCATTGTTTTGGACCTGCAAGAAGGTATATTTGTCTCAGATCCCATGTAAGTTGATTGGCATACACATGAATAGTTCACGAAACCCCTAAAATGGTAAAAGACGTAAATTGTCTATACCTCTGTTTGGAACTTGTAAAAAAAAGTATCTTTTTTACCCAATCCCATGTAAAATGGCCGAAATACGGCGGAATAATCGTTTTAAAAAAAAACACTTCAAATTATGCCTTTTGTGGCATCTTGACCCCCTATAATTACTAATAATGAGCAAGTCTAACACTTTTGTTTGTCAATATGTGTTGCCTGTAAAAATGTATCTTTGTACCAATCCTATGTAAATTGGTGAAAATATGGCCGAGTAATTGACCAAAAACATAAAAATTATGGGTTTTTTTGTGAGCTCTGACCCTCCTAAAAAGAATCAAAATGAGCAAATCCAGTTTTTTTTTGTATGTTAATGAGCTGGATGCATGAAAATTCATATTTGTTCCAATTTTCATCTCGATTATCGTAAATATGGCCGCAAAGGAGCTCTAAAATAGACATTTTGGGTTGTTTGACCTTTGACTCCATAATATCTTTTAAAAAACCCAAGTAAAAAAAATGACAAAATATACCTGGACGTATTGGACCAAGGTATGATCCTACTAAGTTAAGTTAATGTACCGAGAAATTAAGAAATGGCGGTGGATAAAAATGTGTTTGGAAGAAGAAGGAACAATACAAAATCGTTGTGTCTCTATGGAGACATAATAAAAAGCTCCCGTGTTATGAATGGTTGCGATTTTATCGCGGATCAAGACGTGATTGTTTTTGTTTGTTTGTTTGTTTGAAGTTAAGCACAAAGCTACACATTGGGCTATCTGTGCTCTGCCCACAACGGGTATCGAAACACGGATTCTAGCGTTGTAAGTCCGCAGAGATTGTTTTTGTGATGATTCTTTATCAAAGAATCAAAACGGAAATGACTTACTTGTAAGTATCATTAAAAACATTACGATTTTTTTTTTGAACTTACACACATCTTGGTGTTGTTTTAGTACAAAGATACACAATGGGCTATCTGTGCTGCGGGACATGGAACATCGGATTTTAGCGTTGTAAGTCCGTAAACTAACCAATGACTCGCCGGTGGATATACCAATATATTATCGTATGATTTTGTAAATAAGCAATGAATATGATATTAAACTAACATTTTTTTTATTGACTTTACGTATCTGAATATACATTACTTATCAATTATCTACCATCAAAAGAAAGTGCGAATTTTACTCTTTATATTACTTTTTCAATATTGAAAGAACCTGTATTTTCTATATCTTACAGTAACAGTCATTGAAAACCGTACTGGATAATGAAAAATAATGATTTAAACAAAAAAACAAATGAGGAAGATTAGAAGAAAGGTGTTCACCAGTAAATGATATAAATATAGACAAAACTAAATCAATAAGAGGCCAAATTTATTGCAAAATATAAAAAAAATATTTAGATAACAATATCCAAGATATAAATATAG